CATGGCGAGAAGGCTCCAAAAAGGTGAACTGGAGAACGAAATTCTGCCGGGACACTCCCTCTAAGTTATTCTCTCAAAATCAGTTTCCAAGCGCATTTCTTTGAAATTGCCTGGACGCTTTTGAAAAGCGGAGGCGGCGCCTGATAGCGCCACTCGTTCCTCTGGTGGGACGGGTAAGGGACCATATGTCGCCGATAGGCTCCCCGCGCAAACAGGATACAAATCCGCTATGTCTGTGATGTGTGGAGCTGCGTACTCGTCGCAGATGTCCGCGTGGGACACCCACTTTCGGCGACATATATTCCTCCACCTTGGTGTGATTGATTTAGTTCATACAATAGTTGAGTGGTCTTTCTGCTATTTATTCCTAGCTGTCCAGTTTTGCAGGCGCTTCTTCTAAACGGAAACTGTGATAAATTTAGGCTGACGTCTAGGTTCCATACTCCATATACCGAACAGCCATTCGTCATTTTCTTGGCTGATCTTCTCAGAAGACGCAGGATTGACATCGCCTGTATTCAGGAGACAAAATGGAAGGAAAGTCACGGGACAGGAGACGGGTACAAGCTTCAGTACAAAGGAATGTGCAACAACAGAAACGGCATCGGTATAGTGGTCTCAGAAACGTTGTGGAGTAAAATCACGGACGTGGACCGAATAAGTGATCAACTAATGTGTATCAGAATGGATATGGGAAAAAGAACTCTTCGAGTCGTAACCGCCTATGCACCACAAATAGGGTGCACGAAGTTGGAAAAAGATGAATTCTGGAAGCAACTAGATGACTGCATCGGCTCGATACCACGCGACAAGAGGCTACTAATAGAAGCAGACTTTAACGGGCATGTAGAGATGCAACGAAGTGGTACAAGCAAATGTCATGGTAATCATGGATACGGAACACGTAACATCGAAGTAGAGTATTCTGGAGTTCGCCACGGCGCATGACTTTGCACTGGCAAACACATACTTCGTCAAGAAAGACAATCATCTCATCACGTGCGCCAGCAGAAATCGGAAGACAGATAGACCTCTGGGCAGTGCGGCAAGTGAGCTTGAGTATGTGAAGAACACCAAGGTCATACCCGGAGAAGACTGCATACCACAACATCGACCACTAATTCTGGACCTGAAAATTCCAACCGACAACCGAAGAAGAACAACGAGGGTAAGTAGCACGCATCATATGGTGGAAGCCAAAGACAACGACCACATCAGAGCAGCTATGGAATCTACACTGCCAGTGTGAAGAGGCAGAAGACTCCTGGAACAATCTGAAGAATGTTCAAGGAGAAAAAGGCAGCGCACAGTGTGGCAGAAGCTAAAATCAGAAGAGGCACGGCAGAGATACACAGACGCGAAGCAGCAGCAAACAAAAGTGTCAAAGAGAGGAAAGAGGCGTACATAGAGGTACTTTAGAAAAGCTGCACACCCGAGAAGGCAAACGAGACTACCGACTCGCGAAAAGAAGAACAATTACTACAAGAGATGTAGAGCACTTCTACAGTATCAAGAACGCACACTGAAAAGTGCTTAGAAAGCCACAAGAGATGAAAGAAACATGGAGAACACACTTCGCAGAGATAGCGTTTAGAGCCACGGATACCATCGACGTCTACATCTGAACTTGTGATGGACCAGTTCCAAATCACGGAAGACGAAGTCAGCGACGCCATAATGAAGACGAAGAACAGCAAGGCGACAGGCCCCGCTGAATGACATCCGCAACGAATTCCGGAGAGCATGTGATTAAGCTGGAGTTACATGGAACACGACTTCTGAACCCTTTGATAAAAGCCAAGAAGATTCCAAACGATTGGTGCAGGAGCGTAACACTACCAATATGGAAGAACAAAGGCAACGTAGCTGACGCTCGACGTACCGGCTTATCCGACTTATGTGCCAGACCCTAAAGATCTTCGAATGAATTCTGGAAGTGCGACTGCGAAGTATCGTGAGGTTAGTCCTTAACCAGTGCGGATTCTTCAAAGGTTGCAGCACAACAGATGCGACCCACGCTATCAGGACAATGATGGAAAGAAGCAGGGAAAAGCAGTGCGAGCTACATGCCGTTCCTGGATCTGGAGAAGGTGTTCCATGAGGTGCCGCATGACATCATATGGTGGTCACTAGGCACATGGTGCCGGAAGAATACGTGCAGTGGATTAAATGATATACAACGATGCCAGAAGCCACTTACAGACTGCAGCAGCACCATCAGAAGAGTTCCAGATCTACGCCGGAGTTCATCAAGGCTCCGTACTGTGGCCCCTCCCTCTTCATCACGGTCGTGGATACGATAATTAGAGACTTCATATGACAACCATCATGGACGCTGATGTACGCAGATGACGTGATGCTGATAGCAAAAAAGGAATGAATTGGAGACCGAGGTGCAGAAGTGGAAAGCTGAACTTGAGCTGCACGCCTTGAAGATCAACACTCCAAGACGGAGCACATGGAGGTGGGGACTCAGACTAGTGGGACTATAGAAATCGAAGGCGCCCCCATCAAGAAGACCACGGCATCTAGGAAGTCGGGTTGCCGCAGATGGTACGCTTCAGCACGAAATAAGCGGAATAAATGCAGCTTGATCGAAATGCAGAAGTGTCACAGGAATCCTGTGCGATAAGAAGATGCCACTCAAGCTAAAATTTCAGCTGTATCGCACTACAGTCCATCCGACTTCTGTATGGCAGTGAATGTTGGCCGTGTACGCGAGAAGACAAACGAAGGATTGTGTGATGGAGACACGTATGCTAAGATGGACAGCGGAATCACAATGCTGGACCATATCACCCACGACACCATAAGAGCTATGATGAAGGTCGCCCCTATCATTCAAGAAGATACAAGAGAGGAGACTCCGATGGTACGGGCACGTCAGAAGACGAGCAGAAGATCATGTCGCTAGGTTGGTGATGTCAGTCGAAGTACCCGGAAAGAGGCCAAGCGGAAAGCCGAGATTGAGATGGATAGACAAAGTGAAAGCGGACTTGAGAGAATTTGAGATAGGGAAAGATCAAACTGAAAACCGATAAGTCTGGAAGAGACTAACTAGAGCAGCAGACCCGCTCTGAGGGAAGTATGCGAAGATTTTAAAAAATCGTCATTTTCTTGTCCCCCCACAAACCTTGTACAGTCGAGTAGATGTTCCGTTCTATATAGTGTGCCTGCAGGTGAAATGCGGCAACATATGCGCGAGAACAAGCATGTAGCTGCGGCTGTGACGCCGGCTGCTTAAGCCGCAAGGTCACCCCTTCACTGTGCTTGATAGTTTACTTGGCGGCGCCTACCTTAATGTAGGCAATCCTCGATTCTGTATGATAGTGTAGTTTGCCAGATATGAGCAGTCAAGTTATCCACGTCCAAAACGGTGGCATAAAAGGGCCTGAAAACTCAGGGCCGCATGCACTAACGTCCCCGCCGGGAGGGGATCGCAGCTCAAAGGAAATGCTTTATATCGTGAAGCTCCAGATACCTGGATTTCACGCTGTCTATCTATCCTTAAAATATTCCCACCACCTTTCACTATGAACATATTGAACAGAAGCGATGCTTTTTGTATGATCCCCTGATGAACCCCGGGGGACGACCGTCTACTATTTGAAGTCATTTTTCTATCTTCATGTTAATGAAAACATTCCAAAGTTGTACTGCTGATCTAACCCAACAGTGCTAAGCATGTTGCTGATGAGAATAAATGAGTTTCTGAAATATCGAAATTTTCCGTAAACCTCAACTTTCGACCTGTGGTTCGTCGAAAATTTCATGACTCCAAAACACCATTCGTTCTTATCAGCACCATGCTTCGCACTGTTGGGCTAGATCAGCAGTACAACTTTGAAATGTATTCGTTAACTTTGAAGAAAGAAAAATGACTTCAAATACGGTAGACGGTCGTCCCCCAGGGGTCATCAAGGAATCATATAAAAAGCTGGAAAATGCAGGTTGTAGCTTCTCGCTTCTGTTCAACATGCTCATAGTGAAGGATGGTGGGAGTACATACTGATAGGTACACAACGTGAAATCCAGATATTTGGAGCTTCAGGATATGAAGCTTTCTTTTGAGCTGCGATCCCCTCCCCGCGGGGGTGTTAGTATGTACATGCGGCCCTTAGTTATGGTGTTGGTTCGAATATTACCACTATTGTCAGCGCCCGTTCCGCAATTATTCACTGTTGATAGTCAGCGGCTTCTCCGCTACTATCCAATAAACAGTTATACGCAGTGGCATCCGCTCTTGGTTTACACCAAACCGGCCAATAGCGCGGCATTATCGGCGTGACTATGGTTCACGGGCAAGCTTTACCGCATTTTACCTGCACTGCAAGCACACTATATTGAGCGGAAAATGTACCTGGTTGTAGACGCCACAGGCCTGACATGTTCTCCCTTACTCTTACAAGTCCACTCCTGTTTCTTTTTGTTTGATGCGTGATGATTGGGTACCGCATCCGTCAAACGAATGCGTATCGATCGAGATAGTTCCCGCCAAAGCGCGAAAAGAACCGCAAGCGTCACACGAAGTTGTCAGTCGGTTTGTAAATGCTTGCTTCCATTCGTTTTGTAAAGCTCACTTGACCGCACATTCGACATGAAATTAGCCCCTCCCCCCCCCCTCTCAAAGCTGTGGACATGCAGATGCGGAATGGTCAAGGATAGGGCCGTTCAGTGATTGAGCGTCGAGAACAATCACTCGCGTCAAAATTCAAGTCAACATCTGCTCCCTACTACCTCGCAGTACTTGTTCACCAAACTCCTGAAAATGGATATTTAGCGTTAATTGTCCTGAGCATTTTCATCCCCTGATGTAGGTCCGTTCCCAGATGATGAGGAACTAACAGTTTGACTCTTGAATAGTCCTCCATTTTTGAGTGAGAAGCTCTTCCCTTTTTTGTCGCTTCTCAACTACGGGCACATATTGATCAGTCCAATTCCCGCCAAGGCGCGCGAAGATTGCGGGAGCGCTTCAAGTCGTCGTCATTCATTGTGATTACAGCGGCTTCAAAACCAAAGTCGTTTTGTCAGCTTTCCATTTTCTTTTTCTTCCAGAATACCATACAGGATCTTGTTTCTGTTCTGCTCGAAAAATGGTGAGCAAGTCTCAGACTGCAGCTGACAAGGCCGGTGATGAAGGTATCGAGTTGTGACATCATGTACTGGGTCTCAAAAATAACTTCCTTTTCCAGCTCCGCAAGCCTATGCTGTCGAGAAGATTCTGAAAATGAGAAAAAGAGCAGGAAAAATGGAATTTTTACTCAAATGGGAGGGATATCCAGTGAAGGAGGCGACGTGGGAAGCAGAACGTGATTGCGTACGTCATTTTTTATGCGATTTTTGTTTCAAATATCTTCCTAACACATGTGCCCTTACGATGCAATGCACCTGAACAATTTAGGATTGTGAGGATCTGATCAAGGAGTTTCTCAAAAATAGCGTAGTTCAGTAAGTTGGTTATAGCAGTCTTTTCAATGAAGTGTTTTTTTTTCAAGTCATCTTAGAATCGGTTCGGTGTGTTTTCCTTGAGCAAATACTTTCAGAAAAGGTTTGAAATCGAAGCTTAGGGGCAAGTCAAGGAAAGACATTACTGTTAAGGTAATTGTTTTGAACAAACTCCCGAAGAAAATTCACTTTTTTCTAGCTAACGAAGAAGATACATTATGGTGCGAGAAGAGCCACTTTAAAAGAGATCAAAGGAGTTGTGGTAGGAGACTCACTCTGCAAGACTGCCGTTTGGCTGACGTTTCCTTATCTTCAGTCTGAGAGGAAACGAACTCCGAACAAGAAGCAGACAACTCCGAAACCTAAGCTCGCATCCTCTGCCTCCTCAAAAAAGGAGGTCACCCCGAAATCAAAGAAAGAAAACGGAGAGAAGCCACCTGTTCCTTCAAAGCGACGAGCCTCTATTTCGCCCAAATCTCTGTCGTCTGCAAAAGGAAAAACCGAAGTAGGACATGGAAGTGGCATAGGGAGATGTAAAGTTCGCTACGATTTGACTTTACAGGAGAAGAAACCGAGGAAAGAAACTGAAGTAAATGAAACGCCTACAACTACAGTTGCACTTCAGGAAAAAAGTTAGTTTCTCACATTTTTGTGGAAAATTTTGTGCTTTTTGAGTATTTTGTGGGCCCCTTATCATAAAATTTTTGACTTACGCAAAGGTTTTTGGGTGCTATTCCAGTATCCGGGCTCCAAGATTTTTTCGGCATGGATTTAGCTGAAACTTGGCCCAGGGGGGTTGTTCGGTCCGCTGATGCTGAATATCACATTGGTTTTGTGCCGTAGCGTCATTTTCTCGGGTTACGGTGGATACGGCAGGGGGTCAAAATCTCAAAACGGATTTCACTGTAACTTCGCACAGAGGGATTATTCGACATGCTGATTAGAAATGTCACACTTCCGCACGAAAACGTCTCCCTGCATGGTTACGGTAGATTTACGGTAGGGGTCAAAATCACAAGTCGGCAAATGTATCTTCTTCCTGTGCTTTGCTTAGGCAAAACCGCAGCAGGTGTGCAGCGCGTTGGGTGATCGTGTGTGCAAAGCTTCACGATTATCCGAAGCGCCGTACACCCGTTTCAAGCAGAACTATGTTTTGCACCCGTTACCGTTTACCTACCGTAACCCGAGAAAATGACGCTACTACAAAAACAATGTGACAGCATCAGCGGGCCGAATAACCCCCTCGGCTAAGTTTCAGCTAAATCATGTCAAAAAAAATTTGGGGCCCGGATACTAGAATAGCGCCGGTTTTTGTTCATAGTATTTATGATATTTGGTTGTTCTAGCTTCTGCGCCTCCATCTGGTGAACAGAGAAGTTCCGTTCGGTCCAAGCGCCTCAGCAATATCCGAGCTCTGCCACCTTCTAGAGGTTTTATTATTCTATCCATTCCTTTTTGTCTTTTTAATTCAAATTCAATATAGACGGATCCTGTATCAGCGATGAAAGTTCTACGCCTGTCCGTTTTCTGAAATTAAAAAGGAAAAATGACGAAATTGCAGCGAAAATGAAAGCGTCCAATGTTAGCTCCCCTCCAAGTACGCTGTAATCATTCTTCTTACGAAATATCTAAGCAACTCCAATTTCAGAAGATCAAGTGTACAAGGTTCAGCAGGGGCAGAAGATCGAGAAGATCGTAGGCGTGAATAAAGATGGTCCTGAACTTCGATACGTGGTTCAGTACGTAGGCACCGCGCCTCAGCATCAAAGAATGGAATATGTTCCGTCGAAGATTCTTCGCAAATATGCGATGGAGGTCAGTCTTCGGTTTGTTTTTAAAATGTCATTTGTGACTATGCTATGTTTTTGTTTTCTTTCACCTGGTTTTGTTCACAGAAGTATTCGGTGAGTTTTGAAAAGTCGCATTGTAATATTAGTTAATTTTTGCCCCCGTGAGTCTACCTTTTATTTGCTCTTGAGGAATGACACAATGCAATTGCTTGTTTAGTCATGGAACTTGAACTTTCTCATTTCTTGTCAGTTTTGTGTTTACGGTAGATACAGTTGCCGTCGCGAGATGGTATGCGACCATTTTTTCAGAAATTTGTCGATTTCCTCGAGCAGCTTGTGGAGCGAAACGTCACCGAATCAAAGGACTAAGAGTCTCGAAAAAAGTCAGGCTAAAATTTGCTTCCATACTAATAGTCTAAATCTTTCTTCAGGTGTTTCTGTAATCTTAATCGTATGTTGAATGCTACTAATTTTCACATTCGTAACAGTGCAAAACTCTGCGAAGTATGTCCCAATCTTTCATTGACAACTTACGGGAATGTTTCTGATCTGATCTATCAGTCTAGTATAATCACCGGTGTATTTTTTCAAATTTCGCATGTTGTTGAAGCACAGTCACATTGTTGTATCATAAAGCTGTAAATAATGTGTGTCAAAATGTCAGTTACTGTTTGGACGAAGGGTGTCTGAAGGATTAAGTTTTGCCTGATAACACCTTTGCAAAACGATGACACTGAAGAGCATGAGGAATGGACTTATCAAGTTGTCATAGCAACTGAAAGCACTTATTATCACACCATGCGCTTATTTGTTTTGAATAAGTTGTTGTAATCAACTTAAATATTGCTTAGCTCTTCCCTATTGCAATAACGTATCTCTGTAAAGTCAACGCAGTTCATGCTGAACTGCAACACATTTCACTGTTTGATTTCTTGGACACATTCCTCATGCATAGTTGTTTGTAGCGCTCGAAGAATAATGACATCAATTGTGGCAGTGGCGGTCCCAGGATTTACGTCCGGGGGCCTTTCTCAAATAGGTGTGGCGTTTGCCACGCGCTCCGGAAAATTCTGAAAACTGGATTGCTTCTCAAGATATCAGCGGGCGCTCCTAAAATTTTGAAAAAGGGGGCGGGCGGCAGCCACGCCTCCGAAAGAAGGTCTTACAGGCCATTTCGAATTTTCAACAAATTTTAAAGATTATTTCAATTATCTATAAGCATAAACAAGTCACTTGCGCATTTTTATAATCCATTCAAATAAATTTCGCATATTTTGCGACCCATTCTCGGGGAAGGGGAAGCTTTCCCCCTCCGTCGAGAATGGGTCGGAAAGGCCCATACTATCTCCCTGTGGATCTCGTGGTTCCTGTGACTCTAAGCATGGAGCGCGCAAACTCCAAACTTTACAGTGTAGGTCCAATCGAGTAGTAGTCATCACTTTTTCTCTCATTCTGTCCCGCTTCAACGTAATCAAAAATTTGTTGACTGTGAAAAAAAAACTGCTTAAAATGTCAACTCCAGTGCTGTCGTCAAAGTCTGGTACGGGTCAGTGACGATTTGCGTGGATTTTTGGCGAACGGACGTCAAGCAGTCATACAGGTATCATCAGTACAGAATAGCGGGCGGAGATTGCCGACGTTTGCCAACACAAGCGCGTGGCTTTTTCTGATAGCGGAGAGCACAAAAACTAATGCTTCAGGAGGTTCAACAAGTTTCCCAAGGAGTTCATGTTTGCAGGCCACGCCCGCTATACGCATGGGAATCGCCTATACCTGCCGTTACCTCCCAAACCCATATCGTCGCCTACCCGGTGTACGTTGGGCGGAGTATTTGCAGACATCTGAACAAGTTGGTGAACTTGTTAATCCTCTGCTGCAAGGCATTATTCTTTGTAATCTCACGCTACCAACTCTGCCACGCAATACTACGACGTATATATGTCGCAGTTTAGAGAGTAGAAAGAACCATACTGTGCGGTAGAGGATTGACAAGTCACCAACGCGTTCAAATGTCTGCAAATGCTCCGCCCAACGTACACCGGGAAGGCGAAGGTACCTTGCAGCCTACAGAATTCGTGAGGGGTGGGGGGAGGGGGAGGAGAGGCAAGCGGCCGTCGTCGGCGGTATATGACTCCTGACCCGCAAAAAGTATTCATAAACACGAATTCCTGAGGGTCGGTCGCACGACTCGACTTTGAGCCTTATCGGAAACTTGTCATTGTCATTGTTATATTTACTGTAAGGACTGGACGTAGACCTGAAAAAAAAAACAAGAGGGAGCGGAGTCCTGCACATAATTGTTAGGCAATGGGGTGCGATATCTGACAAAGCGGTTGCATTAACAAAATGAAGGCAATAACAGAGGAAAGGCAACTATATGAGAATCCTTCTGCTCGTGGAGAGTCTCCTGACCGTGAATCCGTCCATGATAGAAAAGTCCAAAACTCAAATGAACTTACAAAATATATGCTTCGTACGACCTCAAACCGTATGGTGGCCGTCCTTAGACGCGCTAGTCACGGCAAACCGATGCTTTTTACGTAATTCTTCCGCAAAGTAATATTCTATGCGTACTTCAGAATTTGGCGTCATATCATCGCGTTTTGGTTGTAAACAGGCCATTTATTTATTAGCCTTGCATAGGGATGAGCGAGAGGTCAGGCAGAAATCTCTCGTATACGACCCTCCCCCCTTCTCCTGAAAGCCCCAAACGACCCACTTCTTCATCCTCTTCACCTACGGGACCTCAGAGTGCAACATCGTGGAAGGCATCATCCTTTTCTAGTGATTCTTCGAATTTCTGAGATCCGTATGCCCGATTTTGAGTGACCGCACATTACAATCGCACGTGATCTGACGATTGATTTTGATTCGAATAAGCCGAAAGGACCCTAACTTCCCTAGGGCTGAGCTGTTTGGCTCCAAATTTTCATTGTAGCAAGAAGAAGCGAGCTCAATAATCATATCAGGACTGGAGCGACTTCTGGATTTTGAAGACATGTGAACGGGGTCAGGCACAATGCTACAAAAGCTCTGTCGTATGTGTGCACGGTGGTTTCGTGGTGGACTGATTTCGTGAACCATGTTCGTTGATGATTTGAATTTCATGGATTTGCTAATGTTATTTGCTTGTGACGTGTGCGGTAAACGAAGTGATAGGTCAGAGCTGTTTTTTGCATAAGTTTTGCACCTGTCGGCCATGCTCAAACTGCTCTTTCGGTGAGGTTACATTTACTATACCATTGAGGCAATTTAGTGCGCCTTGCATTGCGTTTGCCGCGCTTTTGATGGTTAGGAAGAGTGTGAGTATGAGTGGATCCGTTCCTAAACTGATGTATTGGGAAGCGCGCGGTGTGTCAGGCTCTTCTAAACTTTCTTCAAACTCTTGAATCGCTTGTAGAGCTCTTAATCTAACTTGCCGTAGAGGTCTCGATGCTGTTTTGGAGCATTATCGTGTATTTCCACGAAAGAATTGTCGTTGTTTGTTGTGCTTCTAACATGGGAGGGATACTAACTTAGATTCGCTTTTTAAGATGGGACGCATATGTTTGGGATCAGCTTTGAACGCTGATTCCAAATATGCTGTTCCTAGCTACTTAGCGTTATTCCGAAGCGAGTTATGGGCTTGCTGTTGTGAGTAACTAACAGACTTCTGAATGTCGTAAAACGGTGTATAGATAAGAATCTCCTCGAAAAAAGTGCTAGGATGTTGGACCAGCACCAGAATAATTTTTTCGATATTAATAGCGCGCATTATACAATTGCTAAATCACCTACACGTCGACACAGTAGCATTAGTAGGTCGAGGGGCACTCAAACTTTTCATAGAAAATAAACCATAACTCGCTTTAGAATAATGCTAAGCAGCTAGGAACGGCATATTTGGAATCAGCGTTTCAAGCTGATTCCAAATATGTGTGTCTCTTCTCAAAAAGCGAATCTAAGTTAGTATCCTTCCCTTGTAAGCTCTAACCAGTGGCGGTCCCAGGACCTCGGACCGGGGGGGGGCGACAAAATTTTTTCCAATGAGTTTTTCCAATTCGGGGTGCGTGGCGTTAGCCACGCACTCCGAAAAATTTTTTGGGGTGCTTCCCAGAATTTTTCTGGTTTTTAAAAATTATTTTAATTGTTTACAATAATAAACAAGTCACTTGCGCATTTTTATAACCCATAAAAGTAACTTTCAAAAATTTCGCGACCCATTCTCGCCCCCCACCCCTCGGTCCGCCACTAGCTCTAACGGATAGATTTTTGTTAGTGGACGATGTAGAATGTGCCTACTAGGTAGCTGTAACTTGACAGATCGTACCTGTCCGTCCTGGCTTCGCAGAATTTCAACAAACTTGCCGTAAGACCAACTGCCTCGTGGTATGAAATCTTGTTGTATTAAGACTATCTCACCAACGATGGGTCTGTTGGGGCTGTATGTTTAGATTGACGAAATTCGGATTGCTGTATTTCGCGAAGCATCAAGTACTCGGTATTCCACCTTTCCCAGAATTTTTTGGCTGTGGTCTCTGAGTATTCTAAAGCTTCTCTTGCTTGTAGCGCAGTTTGGATTAGGTCAGGATCGTACGAATTGTCTCGTTCCCAAAATGTTTCCTGTCCACATTGCATCCTTGGTCTTACGTATATCGTGACCCGCTGATACCATTTGGTTAATCAGCATGGAAATTTTGTCGAATACGTATGTGCAGCTATCTGCGCTGCTATTCGCGGGTCTCAGGAACGCTAGGCGTTGTAGATCCTTGCTCTGTTTGTAGGCTTATTGCCGTACTTCTTTTGCAGCATGTCAATCGTCCAGTTGTAATTTTGCGGTATTAACTGGATGCCTTTTATAGAATTCCCCGATTTACCGTTAAGGCTGTCTCTCAGATACATCATTTTTTCCACTGTGGATAGGTTCTTGTTATTGTGGATTAGTGTCTCGAAAATTGCCCAAAATTCGGGGAAGTCTTCTTCCACTCCGAAAAACTTGGGCAATGTTAGCGTTGGTGTTTTTACGTTGTTGTTCGTTTGCGCATCGTTACGCTGGCTACTTGCGCTGGCGCTGCTATCTTCTGATAGTCATTCTGACCCCTTAGGAAATCATTGGGGTGTCATCAATCACTTGTTCTTGAGAATTTTTTCTTTGTATCTCATCCGCTTCTACGCTTTTAAACATTTCTGGACGGTTATCCAGTAAAATTTTGCGCGTCTGTTTTTTGCGCTTTTGGCCTCAATCATGCTTGACTCCAGTAGAAAACCATCTCCATGGCTTTTCCTAAGACCTCGTTGAAGTTGGTCTCCCTTTCTATCTCCTCGATAGCATTGTTTAAGTTTTTCTTTTCGTCTTTTGTGCTCGTGCTATAGTACTCTTTGAATTGGTTTAAAGGTAGCGTCCAGGCAAGATCCATCCACCCAAATTAGCATATAGTTGTAAAGAGGGGCCCATGAGTATCCGATCTGCGTTGGTCCAATCCTTTGACGTGCCCTCTAAAAGGAGATACGGGCCTGTGATAACTATCACAAGCCGCCCCTTCGTATCACAAACCACCCCTGAAGACGAGTGCTTACGCAAGTGCAAGTTGCACTGCACACTGCAATGCAACTGCATCCGCGCAGTTGCAGC